TTTATATTTCTCCAAAAGAAGAATGTAATCGTCGAGTAAATGAAGAAAATTAGAATCATCTGACATGATTCACTTTTTTCTTTTTATTTATCAGTTTAGTCGCAAGTTGAAAGTAGTAAAAATGTAGTTTGAGAAAAAAATTAGACTTTTTACTTAGTTGTCTTAAGGTAGAATGGAGATAATTTCACTTTTGTTAATATCAGAAATGTTTAAATTACTTTCTATTTTGCAAAATTTAACTTTTTTTATTGCTTATTGTTAATGCTTCCATACAGTTTTTCTGTAGCTGCGAGTTCGTAATTTTTTTCGTTTCATTATAACTGAAACTTTATTATGTCTACAATTATTTTGTCATCAGAGCACAGTGGCCTAGAGAGTATTTAAAAATGTCCAAAAGTTAAGTAAAAAAGAATAAAGAAAATTCAAAACAGTCTTCGCTTAAAAAAATTATAAATGACATTTATTTCTTAATAATAATTATTATAATAAATACAAACAATAATTATTGTCAATAAATTTTTTTATAACAATTAATACTTTAAGTTTATTAGACTACCAATTTTTGGGCCCTTAGTCACAACATATATACAGCACTGATAATATTTCGTGAAAAAAATTCTGAGTCCAGGCAAAGGAGTTGGACGGGATCTTTTTTATGGCAGGCTTAATATGTAGTTCTATTCAAGAAAATTTTGCCTACCGCTACCCTTTTTCACCTGTTCCTAGAAAAAAAACTGTCTACAGAAATGACCAAAATCGCGAAAAGAACGATAATTACACTTTTTCCAACAAATTGAATTAATTGTTGGGTTTAATATTTATGCACAGAAATTTGATTCATTAAAATCGGCCCAGTAGATCGACAGATAACACTGTCTTCTTTTTTATCGGCATGCGCTTATTTTGGGATAGGTTTCAGTAAAAGAAGCACAGATATAATTCACAGAAACGGTCGTTTATTAAGAGAGACTATCGATGAAAGAACACACGATCGAAGCTACTAAGCAAGAGTGTGAGGGAGTGCGTGCGCATACGGACATGACGTAGACTCGTAACCGCTAGAGTCAATAGAGCATATACCGCGAAGGATACAAATCCAACACTCCCTCCCGAGATTGACTCGTCGTATTATAAAATATTATTAAAGTACTTAAAATTATTAAAGTTAACTTGATATAAAAATATAAATCGAACAATACAAAAATACTATAATTAGAAACGAAGTATTTCGTAAAATCACTTTTTCTGGTTAAATACTGATTATTTTCCATCAAAACAGTCTTTGGAATCATCTTTTATGGCACCGTCATTGAGATCAATTAGAATCCAGTCTTCCATTGTCAGTCAAAAAGCTCATGGCTAATCGCTATCTGAAGCAAATATAATACAGAAACATACATATATTATCATAAACCAGTCGTAAAAGAATTTTTTTTATTGTCCCTTTTTTTTTGTTTTAAAATACTGTCATATACGATAAAATTTTTATTGAATTAAGAACAGTCGTTATTAAGAATTTTATCTCGTAGATTGGTATGTACTTCAAAACTAAGAGGCTTCGTCATTATATCAGCCAATTGTTTCTTAGTCGAAACCCATTCAATATTAACACGATCGTATTTAACGCACTCTTTAACGTAATCTTGATGAACATCTGTCATATGTCTTAGCCTATTTCCACCGTTAGTCTTTGCACAAATTGTTGAAGCTTTGTTATCACATTTTAAAGTCGCGGGAAGAAAACTGTCTTTAAAAATTCTCATTAGAGATTTATTAGATGCAATTATTTCTTGACAAGCTTGACTCATAGCGACAAATTCAGCTTCGCAAGTTGATAACGCAACATAAGTTTGTTTATTTGCTCGCCAAGCAATAGTGTCTCCAAACAGTCGTATCAGAAAACCACATGTCGAAATAGAATCTTTACAGTCCGCAAAACTCGCATCCGAATAAGCTAACAAATCGTCTCGTCTACCTAAAAATTTAAGGCCTAAACTTTTCGTCCCCTTCAGATACTGAAAAACTCTTTTGACCATTTTCCACTCGTTTTCGGTCGGATCAATTTGATGTCTACTCAAGACATTTACAGAGTAGGCTATATCTGGGCGAGTAGCTCCAGATAAGTACAAAAGACTACCAATCGTTTCACGGTACGGAATGTCAAGGGGTTTTTCGCAAATTTCGTAACTGTCATTTTCTTCTCGTTCCCTACGTTCGCGATTAGCAACCTGTCGTGTCGTCATTGGTGTATTTTTGGGGAATTCATTTTCAAAACCAAATTTCGTTAAGATTTTCTCAATGTAATTTTCTTGAGTGACTGTCGTCGTTTTTAAGTTTCTTTGTCTTCGAATGTCCATACCTAGGTAATGTTTAGGTTCGCCTAAATCTGTCATTTCGAAAGAAGTCATTAGTTCGTTTTTGATTTCTAACATTTTCTTACTGTCGTTACTAGCTAATAAAATATCATCAACATAAATTAGTAATATAACTATCGAATTGCCAGAATGCCAAGTGAATAAACAAGGCTCGTAATCGTCGTTAATCAAACCTAATGAAAGTGCAACTTCAGAGAACTTTTTGTTCCACTGTTTTGGACTGACTCGTAAACCATAAATTGCTTTGTGAAGCTTGCAAACTTTGTTCTGTCGTGAATTTTGAGGAATTTCTACACCGTCTGGAATTTCCATGTAAATCTCGTCTTCTAAAATTCCGTTTAAAAAGGCAGATTTAACGTCTAATTGACACGCGTCCAAGTCGTAATAGTTAATTATCGCGAGAACTGTTCGTACTAGAGTAAGTCTGGAAACCGGAGCATAAGTTTCTTTCAAGTCGTATGAGTTTGTGTCTTTAAATCCTCGAATTACTAATCTAGCTTTAAATTTTATTTTACTGAGACTGTCGTACTTTCGTTTAAAAACCCATCTCGAATCGATAATGTTGGGCTTTTTACCGTCTTTGCCAATTTTCGGTCGATCTACTATTGTCCATACTTGGTTTTTGTTTAATGATTTTAATTCGTCGTCGATCGCTTTTAACCACTCGTTTTTGTCTTTAGATTCTATCGCTTGTTTGAAAGTTGACGGATCGTTATTGATTTCAGAGTGAAAACAAAATAAAATTTCGTCGTCTGTTTTATTTTCTGTTAGTTTAAACTCGTCTTCAATACTCGGAAAAGTATAACTATTTGAAACATTCGTACTTTTGGAAATTTCGGCAAAACTTATATCAGCTATTTTCCGACTACGCGTCTCGTAAGGTTCTCTTGTGACTTTAATCCTTTTGGTTTTTACTGAAATTTCATTCGAATTCTCTCCCTCCGTTTCTAACAGTCTTTTTCGTGGTCTGCCGCGTTTCTTCGTTTGAGCTCCCTCCGTTTCTGACAACGCGTTTTGATTTTGTACATCTTTTTCGTTACTGTCTTCAAATTTAATAAACCAGTCGTTTATGGAGAAAGTCGTTTCTGGAAGAGGCCAATTTTGTATCGAGTCTTTATTATATTTGTCACCGAAAACAAGTTTCTCGTTGAAACGAACATTTCGAGATTCAAAGAATTTTCCGGATTCAGGATTGAGAAAAACGTAACCGGATGTCGTGTACCCTACAAGTATACCTCGTACCGCTCGTGCCGAAAATTTAGAATCTGGTTTTCTCGTAACGGACCAGTAGGCTAAACAACCAAATCGTTTTATTTGATTCAAGTCGAAGTGAAAATTAGGCGCAAATTTATTCAAAGGAGTTTCAAAGTCAATTGATTTGTGTGGAGTTCTATTATAAACATAAACCGCCGTTCCCAATGCCAAATCCCACATGTTTGGTGGAAGTTTCGAATCAAACATGATCGATCGAATTTTCTTTTGGATCGTTTGATTAAATCGTTCAGAAACTCCGTTGTGTTGAGGAGTGTCTGGATTCGCACACTGTCGTTCTATACCTTCACGTAATAAAACTTCGTTTGTATAACCTCCCATAAATTCGGTTCCTTGGTCTGAACGCAAATAGCAAACCTTTTCGTTAGTTCCTAGCAAATTTCGAGTACTTTTAATGAATTTTTCTAAACATAGACCCGTCTCATCTTTCGTTTTCATAGGGTAAGATAAAGCCAGTCGCGAAAAATCATCAATAAAAACAACGATATATTGATAACTATGTGGATGTGTGGGCGGAGATATTTTACCCATTACATCGGAGTGAATGATTTGTAACGGTCGTGAAGCTCGATTTCTTTTATTATGAAAGGGTAATTTATTAAGTTTCGTAAGAGCGCATATTTCACAATCGAGAATACTGTCGTCAAAAACTACAGACTGAAGGTCTTTATTATCTTTCCACAATGATTGTAATTTTCTTAAATAACCACATGACGCATGGCCCATTCGTACATGCCAGAGCATGGCTTTGTTCTTTTTCAAAAACTCGTTATATCTATTGTTGTTAAATGGGGTAAATTCGTCTAAAACATCAACTTCGGGCAACTCGTCAACATTAGTTATTTTTCTTTTTATTATGGAGTTGTCAAAATCGGATATTACTTTATTATTAATCGTTTCGGTATTTTCTTGAACTTTATCGTTAAATTCTTTTTCAGAGATTTTATTTAAAACTTCGATTTCATTCGTCACTTCATTTTTAGTCGTATTAATTAAATCATTCGTTTCATTGTTAGTTTTGATATTTTTATCAGTCAATTCATTATGTTGTTTAGTACTTTCGTCAAATACAGTCGTGTCAAAAATAGTTGTCATTGAATTTTCATTTAAACTCTTCCTATCAATTTTAAATTCAAGAAACCAATATGGTTTCTCATATACCCCCGTCGCGAGTAGATTTTTTGAGTCGGAATGAAAAATATTAACGCGCTTATCGTCTAAATGAGTGGAAAAACCTGCTTCTGTCAGTCGTCTAAGTGAAAGCAAATTTTCCGAAACCGAATCGGTATAAATCACGTTCGTTAATTTCAAGGATTTGTTGCAATTAGAGATTAAATTAACATTTCCTTTACCTTCGGCTAACAGATCAGCATTACTGTCTTTATTCGCGCATTTAATAATATTAGAATCGACTTTATTCAGCCTATCAAAAATATTTTTCGAATTCGTAATATGTTCTGTCGCACCTGTGTCTACAATAAATGAAATATATTTGTGACTTTTATTTTCAAATTTATTTGCCTTTGAAAGACTATATAAGTAAACGGGCGAAATCGTTTCTGTTTTTAAGGCGGAAACAGTGCTAGACATTGACAATGATGTATTTTGTGTTGTAATTTTATTTAACATACCTGTATTATTTTTCTTGATTTCCATGAAACCAACCTTTGGCGTTTCACTCGTACCCGTTCGTGGCTGTCTTTGTTGTGATTGTGAATTTGTTTTATTGTCAACTGATCGTTTTTTATTTTTATCATTGTTCTTTTTGTAAGTATATTTATTTTTATCGTAATTAGACCTGAATGATTTAAAATATTTTTTGCCTCGATTTGAATGTGATTTAAACTGTCGTTTTGAATTAGCGTGAGGAAAATTTGATCTATTATTTAAATTATTATTGGAAAACTTACATGCGATTCCTCTGCCTCTGCCTCTGTTTCTAGCCAGTCGTTTTTCACACTCATAAGCTTTATGAGTTGTGAATTTTTGACACTCGTAGCATTTTCGTAAACCTTGACCTTTCAAGGGACATTCGTTCTTCATATGGCCATAATCGTCACACTCGTAACATCGTTCGTTTACCCACTGTCGTTGACCCGAATTTGCGAATTGTACGGAGGCCATAGCAGTCGTTTTTGAACCAGGATGGTTCTTGGTTGCTGCTTGTGCTTGATTTGCTTCCGCCTGTATAATAAATAATTTGAGGGCTTCATATTTTAGACTTTTACCGGTCTGATTTTTAGTCATAAATTCAACGGATTGAACTTCGGGTAGTTGAGTTGAAATTGAACTGAAAAGTGCATCGCGTTTCTCTTCGTCCGATAATACAGTTGAACCCGGGATATTTTCGTAATTTAAGATAATTTCTTCAAAACGTTCTAAAAATTTTGCGGCCGATTCTCGTTTTATATCATATTGAATTGAATAAAGTTGTTTTCGTAAGGTAACACTCGTTAAATTTATTTCACATCGTTTAAACTCTCGTAATTTATTAATAATTTCAATTGGATCTTTAATGTGCAAAACACGTGTATGATAAATTTTATCGACTCGATTTATAAGAATATCCCGAACTTTGAATTTATGTTTTTCTTTTAATTTTTCGTTTAGTCCTTCCGGTGGAGCAACTGTCGTATCTATAATATAAAGCAAATCAATCGTACGTAATTCGGATGTTAAAAACTCGTAAAAATGTTCAAATTTTGTTTGAGAATTTAATTTGTAATCATGTTTAATTCCACTGTCTTTACCAATTAATTCAATTTTAATTGTCTCCTTTAATTGATTCGCGATCGTATTTGAATTATTCGTATTATTAACTGTCGCGGTACTTTGTGTGACTGTCGGATTATTTTTATTAATAAATTGTAAATTCGGACTGGAAAAACTAGAATTTTCATTGGTAACTGTCGTCATTTTGAAATTTTGAGGCATTATTGTATTTTCAATAATTCTAGGTTTTTTTACCTTATTTTCCGGTTTACAACGGTCAAGCCATGTTTGCATGGTTTCATGCATTTTCGTTGTCATATTAAGGGTTAAATCCATCATGTGTTCTAGTTGACCCATTCTCGAATCCAAAACATTTATTCGTCTCTCCATTTTGCCGTTGCTTGGATCGGAATTTTCGTCACTATTGAACTGTCGTTTTGTGCTTTGAATAGGGCCAACTGCCCCTTTATCATTATTATTCGTTAAATTTTTATTATCAATACTGTCGTTGTTATTTATTTTACTGTCTTTCTTATTACTGTCCTTTTGAGTACTGTCGTTTTCAGAAGTCACTTCGTTTTTATTTATTGAATTAATTTCATTGTCAGAACTGTGGTTTTTATTACTGTCATTTGTTAACAAATTGTCAGTACCGTCTTTACTATCGTCTTTACTACCGTCTTTACTGTCATCGTTTTGATTTTTGTTGTCGGAAGTCATGTCAGGATGATTTGGACCAATTGGAGGAATGTTATTCTCCATATCGAGATTAACTGGATCAATTTCGTCGTTTCCAGGACCGCTCGTTGTAGTTCCTGGCGACACACCTGCCAGATAAAATTTTAGTTTATAAAACTGTCATTAATTTAAATTTGTTGTCGACAACACCATCGTACTGTCATTACATATCGTTAAACAATTCGTTAAAAATATACAGAAATATAATCGTAAACAGTCGTAAACCATTCGTTTTCAAATAATCACCTGAATTTTGTTCAATGCCATTAATAAAATCATTGATGTCTTTCATGACTTCTTTATCTGTCAACATTTGGTCCGGTCTTGTTAGAGAAGTGTCACTTGGATCTTTGGCCTTCAAATCACTTGGACTAGCATCTCTTATGCATTTGACGTCGCCGTTTGGTGGAGCTAACCTCTCAAGTTCTCGGATTTCTTTCACCAAATTGTCCCAATCGTTTTTCAGTGAATTCTTGCCTTAAAATAAAATTTTGAAATAAATTGTCAAAATACACAGTCGTTAATTAAATCGAAAATCTCGAGAAACTAAAAGTCTTTTCTTGAAACATAAAAACAGAACACATGTCAGAATGAATCAGAAAGAATCAGTCAAGTTACGCTTGTTACCAACAAACGCAACATAAACAGATTTAGTTGTTATCAGTCTTCAGGAATGAACACAATTCCCTCAGAAATAAAAACAAACCAGAAGAACGGTTTCATGTGTCTTTTGATTAAAAGAAGTGAGATTTGAAAAATTATAAATTACTAGTCAATTAATTAAAACTATCGTCAATAATTAGATTTAGAAATAAAATTAATTATTTTATTCTTGCACATAAATGCCCTTGTCGTTACTAATATATTCAGTAAAAAAAAAAAAAAGAAACTTTCGTTATATAGGCAACTGTCATTAAAAATTTTTCAAAAAAAATTCTCACTCTATAACACTTTTCGTAAAATAAAACTTTTCGTGGAAATACTTGGTCCTTCATTTTAGTAAAATGCATTTTATTTTAACGACGTCGAAAATTAATATAAACTCAAGTATATACTGAGAATTTATATGTTTTATATCAAATGATATTTTGCTGTAAATAATTCATGAAATAGATTAAGTGCACTGATTCTAATCGTTAAATAAAACACTCGTTAAAATAAATTATTTAGATATAAATAATTATTAAAAATTCGTTAAACACTCGTAATTTTATTTAGTTCGAACTTGTTTTTAATTTTGTTTCAGCTGTGAAAAGCACAGACTCTATTTGTAAATAGTAGTCAAGTGTCATCTATCGGTCAATTTATTTACTTATCCATAACAGATAAGGTAGGAAAAGTATTGACCGACTGTCGTTTCTTATAATTGCTGTTTCGTTCACAAATCGTTTAATTATTATATTGCAATATATAAATTATTACACACTCGTTAATATTTCTTTTATTAATTGATTTAAGAGAAAAATCAAGTACTGGTCGTTGTTTAGTAAATCACTCTACTTACTCAAACTGATCGTTTCTCCTTCAGCAAAAGTTGCCTTGAAAAAGGAATCGTCTATCCCTATCCGGACTTCTATAATTTCACTTTCTAATTCCAGGGCCTTTCTGCATCTATCTATCACCTTTTTAATTGTCGCAGTCATTGCAAACGGTCGTTTAAATCCTTTTAACTGTTCGTAAAAACTCGTAGTTCACTCGTTACAATCCTGGGCACTTGATCACAATGGACGCGCGAGGCAAGTCTGTACACGCCGCGAGCACGCCGAACGCGACGATGATTAATTCTCGAAAAAAGTTTCTTTTACTAATCCCAGCGCAGCAGAATTGTTGCCGGGCCCATAACCTATCGGCATGCGCTTATTTTGGGATAGGTTTCAGTAAAAGAAGCACAGATATAATTCACAGAAACGGTCGTTTATTAAGAGAGACTATCGATGAAAGAACACACGATCGAAGCTACTAAGCAAGAGTATGAGGGAGTGCGTGCGCATACGGACATGACGTAGACTCGTAACCGCTAGAGTCAATAGAGCATATACCGCGAAGGATACAAATCCAACATTTTTTTTACAATAAAAACAATAATAATTAATATTTGTTAAAAATTCAAAAATTGCTTTATTCCGAAGGATTTAATGAATAAATGATACTTTTTTTAAATTTTTTCAATGAAGATTTTCATATATAAGTGTCATGCAAAGTCAGGTAATTTCTAAAGTAACAAAATATAGGGTGCATTTTGATCTATTTTTGCGTCTGTCAGAAAGAAAAATTTTTTTGGAGAAACGGCCTGAAGTATACAAGCTTGTGAGATTCTAAGCTTTCCAAATATTGATTCCGTTTTTTTCTAGTAATTTTTTTAAATACTCTCTAGGCCACTGTGCTCTGATGTCAAAATAATTGTAGACATAATAAAGTTTCAGTTATAATGAAACGAAAAAAATTATGAACCCGCAGCTACAGAAAAACTATATGGAAGCATTAACAATAAGCAATAAAAAAAGTTAAATTTTGCAAAATAGAAAGTAATTTAAACATTTCTGATATTAACAAAAGTGAAATTATCTCTATTCTACCTTAAAGTCTAATTTTTTTCTCAAACTACATTTTTACTATTTTCAACTTGCGACTAAACTGATAAATAATAAGAAAAAAGTGAATCATGTTAGATGATTCTAATTTTCTTCATTTACTCGACGATTACATTCTTCTTTTGGAGAAATATAAACAAATGAGCGAATACTCTCGTCACTTATATAACAATTGGTTTCATTGTAAAAAACAATTGGAACAACTGCAACAGTTGACTGATTCGACGATGAAATTAAGCAACCAACTTGATTTAAAGAAATACAATAATCTGATACATGAAAATGATACTACCTTGAGCCATCTTTAATTTTATAATTGATTCGCAATAAAATGATAAATACTTTTTCAATGAAGAAACAATATAGAAAATATAATTAAAGTCATGTAAATTAGACTCTATAGACTATAGTTATAAATTATCTAAAGAGTTTTTTAATGACGATCAAATGAATCACATATTCAATGGGAAACATATATATAAAATAAATTAAGCTTTGTTTAATTCTAAACAATCTATTATAATCTGTCATTTATTTAATAATAATAATAAAAAAAAAAAAAAAAAAAAAAATTAATTGAACACTTGGGAAAACGTTCAACTTATGACAGATCATAAAGGCGAACTATTTATTACCCAATGGACAAAAAACCATGTTGGTTTTAAAAACGTTTCTAAGAACATTTTTGGAACGTTTCACGTTTGCCAAATATTGTTGTAGAACATTATTTGAACATCCATGTTGTTAAAATGTTTCAGAACATTATTTGGCAGACATGAAACGTTCTAAAAACGTTCTTAAAACGTTTTTAAAAGGAACATGGTTTTTTGCCCACTAGGGAGTGCATCGCAGTACTTCAGGTGGCAGCGCCAATTCGAGATAGTGGTCACTGAAGAAACTATGATAAAATACATTATTTTACTATTTATTGTTTTATTTTTATTATTTTTGTGTTAAGTTATAGTAAATGAGTAGAACAACAATATCATTTTTTTATTTTAGAGAAAGTTTTAAACTACAAAGAAACGTTCTTTGCCCACATACATTTAATTCTCATTACAATTATTTTTTCAATTTTATATTAAACGTAAAAATTTACACTTACCTCGCGAACGGGTATTGAAAACTGTCATAAGAAAACGCTTATCGTAATATTTAAGGATTTTTTTTTATCGAATTTTTATTTATCCGAATATTTACTTAACATTATTTTCATTAATTAAATTTACATTTAACAAAAATTGTTTTTAACAAAATTTTTATTTAATAAAAATTTTATAATTATTGATATTTTATAATTTGAAGTTTAATGTATACTAAAGTTATATCAACTATTACGATTCTTCATGTCTTCATAATAAGGGAAAACGTAGAAACATAAAAATTCCTCTAACGTTTTTTGTCAAATACATACAGCACTATTAAGATAAATAATGGAATTAGAAGGAAATACATTGTACTTGATTATTTTTATTATTGCGGTAGTGGTTGTTGGTACTGTAATTACTATACTAGTTATTTTTTATGACAAACTAAAAACATGGATTTCGTCCAAAAAAGATGACGAACAAACGAACGAACCAACTGCACCAACATCCAAAACTGAAGACAAACAAATCTGAAAGTTCAACAATACACAATATGTAAATAAAACAAAAAAAAAATATTTTTTTTTATTGATTTCAAATCAAGATTATAAAATCATTAAATCTTTTTAAGATCCATTAGAAATATCTTGGACATCACAAACAAATTCAATAAAATACTAGCTGACGACCCCGCCTTCGGCGGGTTTTAACATCTACTGGTGCGTGACAGACAGTATTTTCGTACAAAAAGTATTAGTATTTACTTAGTATTTTCATCAGGATCGTCTGTAAATTGCTCAGAATTTATTTTCGTTGCTTAAAAATTATGTAAATATTTTATTGTTATTTAACCAATGTCAATGAAAACTTATATCTTCCTTAAACTTAAATTATGATTTGAACTTAATTTTACCTAATTAAACTTTTTTTTATTAAATTTAAACATTTCAATGATATTGTTTCCAAAATACACACTACGCAGAGGTAACCAGTCATACATCTCACCCACACAGCACCAAAAACTTATCGAATATTCCATCACAAAATTACATCTACTCAAAAGAATACTATGATTATAATCGATAATATATTAAATTTTCTATGGCTCTTCTATAATATATTCGTCGAATTTTTGCTAGTGTGTGATTACAAATCTGTAATTTATAATTACAGATTTGTTTAAACAAAATAATTAGGGACGCATAAATTTAATTATTACAATTATTTATTATTCGATTTTTTGATTCTCAAATTTTTGAACCAGATACTTTAAATTTGCATTTTTATTATCTTGACGTGAAAATATTAATCAGAGATCCTAAAAATACCCCTGAATTAAGTTTGAAAGCAATTGGTTACAATAATAGTTGTTTCGATTTTTTAACCCCAAAAACATTTTTATATATAGTTCAATTTTACCTTGTAATTTTTATAAAATTTTGCTAAAATGTGAGTAAATAACATTTAATACCCAAGTATAGAAAGTTTAGAAACAATCTATTAAGAACACAGAAAATTAAAAGGCATTAAAATAAGCTGCAACGCTTATTATTTTAATCCAATTTTGCTTATTTTAATCCATTTTGGTATTAAAATAAGCAACATTTGATTAAAATAATAAGCATTGCAGCTTATTTTAATATTTTATAATTTTCTGTGAAATAAATAATTTGAAAATTTTTGAATTTTCGAATTTTTAAAAAAGTAGCATATCTTCCATATAAATTAATATTTTTTAATCGCGTATGGCAAAGACTTTAAGTTAGGCTAATACTTAAGCGACTGCCAAGTTTTATTTCAATCGGTCAAACCGTTCTTACGTGATGCTGGAACAAAATATTGCGGACATAAATACATACACACATATATACATACAGACACAAATTTTTTATGGACATTTTTGGACTCCTTGTTGTTCATAACGACAAACTATGTCAAAAATTTTGGATTCTGAGCAATGTACAGACAAAAGTATGATTTTATTAATATAAATTAAAAAATTTTAATTTATTAATTTAGATTAAAAGATCGTAATTTCACTATTTTTGAAAAAAAATTTAAATTAGAATTATAAAAAATACTTTCATAACTATACGAAAATTTCCAAGTTTGGGGCAATGTACAAACAGAAGTTTGATGTTATTAATTTAGATTTCAAACATGGAAATTTTTTTCATCCTTAGAATGTTTATACCAAAAAAATAGTTTCTTAACTTTAAAGAAATCTGTTTTGTCCTACTGAAAATTCTCATGTAGGATCTTATATAGGATCTCATATAAATTCATATATTAAAATCCACATAAAATCCTATGTGTCATGTAAGAAACTATATTAAATCAGACATCAAATCTTTTTTTAATTCTTGAATAAAAACTTATTACAGAAAATCTGACATGAAATCATATTAAAAATCATCACGTGGGATCATATATATATGATTGATTTGAACATAAGAAATCATATAGGATTTCATGTAGATTCTGAAATATCTATCTAAGATTTCACATAGAATTATATAAAGGAAACAATATAGGTTTTCATCTAGGAATTTTCAGTTTTTTTAAATTAAAAATCAAATAATATTACTGCAGTTCATCTGAAAAGAAAAAAACTTGTGCTTTGCAATACACCTTCTCAGTTAAGAGTCTCAGCTTTTATAGCATTTAAGACTGATCTCAACTGTGAGAAAAAAAAATATCACCATCTGTAGGCGTAAGAGTGGAACTATGATGATCTATATCTATATTGGAATTTCCCATATAATTTCCTACATAATTTCAAAGATTATACACTCAAAAAATTCATGGTAAATTTAACTATAAATTTCAACTATTTCTCCTAGTTCCAGGAGGCGCCTATTAACAAAAAGTAGTTGAGACAACTATGTAAAAACGGTTAAATCAACTTTCAAATTTAGTAAAAAAGAACTATTAAAAGTAATAAAATTATTATTATTAATATTAGTATTGAGATCCATTTTTTCATCCTCTCTCATACTACTTTCGTTTATATATACCTTATAATATTTAATTATTATATACCTAACAGAAAAAAATCGCTAAACGCTGAGGATTGAATGCACGACCCTAACATTTGCAAGCCGACAACTTAACGTACCATATAACAGCGGTTCCACATGTATACGAAATCGCAGAGTTGTTGCGAGCCGCGTAACCCCACTGCGCCATCTACCTAATGATTTCCCCTTCTGACGTCACGGAGGGGAGTGCAATGAGTTATTTCAATAAAAAAT